CAAAGAAAATAATAATTTCATTTTTAAGGTTTAAGACCTGATCACGTTATAAGTAAATTTAAAAATTTAAAAAGTTCATATTGCCAAGAACTGAAAAAAATTGCAACTAGTAAAAAATCTGGAACATCTTTAGAAGATGTTTATGTACCACATGTAGTTTGGTGTACCAAAATTAACTCATTTTTAAAACCATATATGACAATGAGGGATACATGCTCAAATTATGTAAGTATAATATTAAAATGTTTATTTCAATAATTAATTACAAAAATCAAATGTGTTGACTTAATTAATTTGCATTTCCAAGAAACAGCTCCTTCCCCGTTGAAATATGCACAATAGTCATCTCTAATTTTCTTAGCATTTGTACATGCATTTCTGTAATTTGTTGGTTGAAAATCTACGATGCAACTTTAATTTTGTCTCCACGATCCATTTATGATTTCATAGTTATAATCTTCGTGATCAATAAGATCCGGTGGTAAATAGGCTTGACTTGTTTTTTGTAACCAATTATGTATTGCACAAGCGAGAAAAAATGTATCGACTTTATGAGGTATAAATGGGATTGGTCTTTCGAAAATTCTAAATTTGCTCACAAGTATACCAAAAGCATTCTCTGATATTCTTCTAGTCCTAGATAATCTAAAGTTGAAAATTGCTTGTTCTCTTGTTAAATTTCTTCTGTTGTACGACCTCATCAAATACTTCTTGAGTGGAAAAGCATCATCAGCTACAAAAATAACATCGTATTTAGAGTATTGTTTTCTAATGCTTCAAAAAAAAGAGTTTTCTTGAAATATACCACCATCTGATGCCTTTCCATTTGCACCAACGTTAATATACGTAAAACAGTAACTGTGGTCAATTAATAGTAATAATACTGTACTGGTGTTTATAGTTCTAAAACTCTGATCCACGTATAGGTGGTGCTTTAATGAGGATGTGTTTCCCGTCCATTGCTTCAATGCATCTCGGAAAATTTTATCTCTTTTGAAAACCTTTTTCTATTTCATCCCATTCATTTTTTTGTTTTCGGCACATAAAAAATTAAAATTGTAAAATATTCAATTTTCAGGTGATATCAAATTAAAACAAAAGCTGAAGAATACCATATAG